TCTGTCGATTTTAGAACTGGTTCGGAACTATAGAATTTAGGACTAGTTCGGAACTATCGAAAAAGGGATGCAGCGGGGGGCAATTGACACTTCCTAGGACATCGCCATGTTAAATTCGCCAGTTGCTTGCATGCAAAAGAGATTTATCGCGAACCAGTACTGGGTCTAAATGTACTAGAAGCGCCCCAGTTCAGAACTAGAGATTTTCCCCACAGGGTAAGCAACACCAACTTAACAGAATTTTTAAGAGAGAGCCGTAAGTTACGTTAAGTTACCATAATCAGACCATATCAGCGTCAGCCGAGTGAAAATACTGCTAAAGTAACAGAGGCGCGCCGCTTCTGATACCCTTGTTTGTCTCACCGCTCGTGCCATAAATTCAAATTGGTTGCGTCTTCTGTATACTGTGTATTCTTTGCCCGTAGTCATAGCCAAAATAAAGTCGACAGTAAAGTTTGTAGCAGTTTTTTTACAGATATCCCATTGAAAAGTATGTCAAAAAGCTGCAACAAACTTTACAGTGGACTTTATTTGGACTATGACTACGGGCCAATCACTTTAATTTTATTTTTATCTAATTTAAAAAAGTTAATTTAGATCAAGTTAAGGAACTTCCTATTCTTCTTGAACGGAGTCCCTATATCTATAAATTATTTTATACTTTTTAGTTCTTGATGTAATAAAAGCGTGTTTTTAGTTTTTTAGCTACATATAATTTTATTCTTTCTTATCATTTATGCATACAGCTGTCTATATCTATCTCGATTCGTTTTGGCTGCTACAAAACCCGTTTTGTGAACGAAGTTATAATACCCTTGTGCACAAATGCGCTCGGGTATAAAAATGTAATGAAGTGACTCAAACAATGAGGAAAGACCATTAAAAATGGGGCAATTTTTTAATAAATTGGAAAAAGTGGCTTAACATATAGTTAAAATTTTCTCTCGAATGGTTTTCATTTTTGATGTTCAGGTTTGTCAAACACGTAAAATTTTATTTAAAAACCGTCCTAATGTCAACAGGACATGAAAAAATTTCAAAATAACGTTAAAAACGGCAACCTGGCAATGCTGGATATGAGTGAAGTCGGATATCCTCCGCGCACGTTGACTGTTACCAAGCGAATGATGTTATTATGACGGAGAGAAAATGAAAGGAACATAACCACGGTATTCACAAATGTTTGTAGTATATCTTAGTTTGCTACTCATATTGAAGCTGAAGCTTCAACAATATGCATTAGTTAAAAATAAAAGCTTAAACGAGAGCAATTAATTATAACAGGTTAAACGTTAAATGTGAAATTCATGCAATAGCATACAAATTTATTAGCATTTCTACTTACCTTCTCTATCAAAAGTATTCTTCTCTTCTTTCCTTCCACTCTTCTCTTGCGGATGTCTTAAATACCACGACAACAGATTAATATCTGTTCGGATTTTATCCATATCATACATTGGTCGCCTAATATTATATGCTTTATCGCCGCAAATCCTTACTGCTGCAAGATGACTTTTTCCTTTATATTTAAATACACGTGAATAAAGTAACTTAGTAGCAATGTTTAAGTTAATAAAAGATATAATAAATGTTAGAATTATCTACAATATATTTATTGACATTATATGTGCCAATGTTCAATATCATTTTGGAAACCCCTTTCAAATATTCATATCTAGTGCATAATAATAAAGCTCACTAGTAGATATTTTATTTTAATTATACATACTATTGTCAGCTTCATCAGAAAATTAATAGACAAATCAAAGAGATTCTTTTATTAAACAATATTTCTAAACAATAACGTGGACTGAAAAGTAAAAAAAAAAAAACATATGTGTGCAGTGCAACCTTCATAAAATTAAACTACGAGAGAAAAGGATGAATGCGTTTGCTTATTGTAATATTGGTACGATGTTGATAAGTTTTTATAATTTTTCGTTTTACACTTTTTAATTTTTCATTTTATTATTATTAAGACTCATGTTCAAATTTCTACAAAAGAGACGAGTGGCTTATAATAACAAATATATGCTTTAGTTAAGATGTGATCAATACATCTTTGAAACAGAGCTGTAAAACTATCGATAGTCATCCCATTCGATGTTTTCGATAGTTTTCATTGAAAATATCGATACTTTCGATGGTATCGGATAATTTTAAAATGCATTGACGAAGCTATTTATATAAAGAAGAATTAGCTAATTGTTATATAGCGATTTTCAGTAACTTTTTTCTTTCTCTTCGATACAAGAATCTCCAAACTTTAACTGACCCTGGCTTATATCAATAGTTTCTTCCATCGACGCAGAATCACTAACACCATAGTTTGGTCCAAAAAAAATATTCAAACTAGTTTTTTCAAATTTAATTACACCTGATTTACATGATTCAAGTACTTTAAAACAATTCTGGTTCATTATCTTTTGTGTTTTCTATTTGCGAAAATGTCAAAAGCAAAGCAAGACTCTTGAACCACAGACCAGAGAAGCCAACTCGTGGGGAGTTCCCCAATTTGCGGGGAATTTCAGTTTGCGTGGGGAATCGGGGAATGGACCGGTTTTTGTGGGGAATTTCAGTTTGCGTGGGGAATCGGGGGAGGAACTGTTTTTTTGTGAGGAATTAGGTGTGATTTGTTTCCTTTTTGCTTCATTAATTTCATAATGAGTTAAAAAAGTTGCATAAGCAATATGACTGCAACTAAAAGTACTGATTTTGCTACCCTGCCAATGATGCAAACAACCGTTTGATTTTTTATAATTTTCTTTGTCGCATTTGCTTTCCTATAATGAATAAAACAATTTATTTTTGTATGGAAGAAGGCTGCAACTAGCACCAAACAAAATTCTAAAAGAAAAATTTTTAGGCACATGAAACTTGCACTTTATTATAATAGAACTGAGTGCATAATGCATACCCAAAATCTTTCTAGAGAATCGAAGTAAAAAAGCTCGAAATTTTTACGAAAGTTTGTTGCATTTTTGAATATTGAATAAAGTTTGAAACTTGGATTTATACGGTTTTTATTAGAGAATGAACTATATTTTTATAAAAAAATTACTCAAATTAAATAACAAAAAAAAAATATTAATTGTGAAAACTTGCCAAAATTTGGTGCGACTAAAATTTTTTCGACTACTGTATGTATGTAAGTATTATATGCGCATTTTTTATTCATTATTTGTAAACTAGCTTTACAAAAGTTTGGTTTGACTTATGAGTGCATAGATAATTTACATTTAGAAATAATATAAACGAATATCAAAATACAACAATTTTTTTTTAATAAGGAGATATCTATGAGTGGGGAATTTTACGCAATTTCGGGCGAAATCGGGGAATTTCATAGTCGAAATCGGGGAATTCTCAAAAATGATTTGGGTACCCTGGTACAGACGCATATGTACCCTTCCTTTTTCTTCTCAACCCTTCTCTTCTACTAGCAGGCAGAATTGAGTTCATTACTTGAACCGTGTAAATCCCGGTAATAGGTAAAAAATAGTGATGTTTAAGCGAATCAATGTACACAAATTCCCATTTTCAAAAATACAAAAAAAATACATACTAAATAATACATATAATATAAACAATATGTATATTTCCTCTAACAAAAAGTATCGATAGTGGCCAACGACCATTCGGTAGTGCAAAAAAATATAACCATTCGATAGTATCGATAGTTTTACAGTGTGCTTTGAAATACAGTATCAATGATTGTTTTTGATCGTGTTGTCGATTCGGTGCGACTGCTGGACATTTCTAAATTTAATTTCATGCCAAAGAACTAAATCAAAAGGAGCGCTGAATCCAACACATAATTCGGATTAAAATCCCCAATCAAAATCATCAGAATTTTATTGTAGTATTGCTTCTCCATTAGAAATTTGAACAGACAGTGATTCCAGTTGTTATGCATTGACTTCTATTTGTGGAATAACAATTCGGGCTCCGTCATGAGTGTTATGCTAGATTACAACTCCGCCTATTCTCGTCATTTGTCTTCAACTGAATTGGAATTGAATTGAATTACTATATCAAAATTAGGAATGACTAAGGTGTTCTCTTTATCCAACCACGTCTTTGAAAGAATTAGAAAATTCGACGATGATGCTATTCTGTCTAATTGAAGATCCTGTACGTGAGCGCGTAAGCTTTGGCAATTGAAGGTAAACAATGACAATTCTTTCCTTGCATTATAAAATCATGTAATACCTTTTCAATTGTTTCAAGTGGATTCCGATGCAGCCTTTGAAATTCAGCTTGCAACTCAGTTGTGGATACTTTTGCTCTCCGACCATAATAAATTTTCCTAAAATTTGTTTTTAAACTAGATGTAGCCCTGGGATCGATGGTACTCATGATAATGCGACATGCAGGAGCTGTTGAGTGTATAAGATCTCACCAAATGACTCCTTGGGACTTATGATTCATTATCGCACACGCAGAGATCAGAGGAAAATGGTCACACTTTACCATTACGGTTTTATCAGGTACTTATGCTATAGAGTAGCGATGGGCATAATATGCACATACGGGCAAAATGCCCAAACGTGCAAACCGCGGGCAAATGTGGAAACCGTTGGGTAGATGAGGTGAGGTAATTGTGCCCGGGGCGGGGGGAAACAGAAAATTTTGCGCGAATTGCATCTGTATGTATGATCGGAATGAAAGAACAAGTATATGTGAGTACTCACGAATGTGAGACCCCATGGCTGCCAACTTAAAAATTTTTTTTTCAGTAAAATTTAATATGCATCTATACTACATTAGTGATCGGTCCAAGATATAAGTATTGTTGTATTTATCAAAAACCAAAATAAATAGTAACGCACTAATAACGATTTTAAACTTTTATAGAACCAATTGAATTTTCACTTTAATTCAATCGAGATATATATATATTTTTTGAAACAATGCATTTATACACATATGTATGTACATACTTATGTGTGTAAAAATATTTTCGTATCCAGAATAAAATGCACTAAATAAGCACTGAACATGGCGGGAAAGGTATTCTAATAGTATTATATAGGTGTCGAATATTTTTAGGTATCTTCGGCTCAGCTAACATGAAAAAAGCTGCATGGATACATATCTATATATTTTTGATGATTTGAAGATTTTAATTTTTAACGAAGCAAAGTGAAGTGTATGTATATACTGCTGCAAATAATTATAAACCCAAAGTGATTTTAAATGCAAGTATGGACATAAAAGTGCAAATAAGTTTCGCATTGACTAGATTTTACAAACTCCAACAAGCTCAACAGTCCCGAAAACGAAGACGACATTCTTATACTTTATTTTTATACTTTATTTAATGCCACAAAATCCCAACACTGGTTATAAAACCATATAACGAATTTCCAATTTTGTTTTTGTTAAAAAACTGATGGTTTTTTATAAACATATGATCTCTAATTTTATCAAATAAAGTTTAACTGCTAAATTATAAAATAAACTTTTTTTCATAGGAGTTTACAGAATTTAAATGATTTAGCAGGATTCTAGCGATTTTTGTTTATTAATCTGGCGGGGCTGCAGAAACAGAAATGGCAACTAAGCTTACCCGCTTGCTTGCGCGTATATTAACTTTTGATTTTCAGAAAGCACCAAAAACATTTGGGAAAAAAGCGTTTTACCAAACTAGAAGCACCAAATTTTTTTAATCAAAAGCAAAAGATGCGTAACAGTTTGTATTTAACAAAAGCAAAAAGTTAACAATATTTACAAGAATACATACAGAAATCAATACACAAAACGTTTTCGATCATAACGATTGAATAGCCTCTACACATGCTATGATGACTCATGCTTACGACGTAATACCGCAGTACTATTAAAACTAGTATATCTCGAGAAAGAAAAATCGAATCACAACAAACGAAAATAATGCCCTAAGTAGAAATGAGCAAAAAATTTGATGTTTTCATTATATAACCTCAAATATCGCAAAAACCCGTGTTTTTGGCAATCAGGGGGTAGGATATCTAAAAATTCTAGTACTAGAGCAATTGTACGGCCAGATTTGGATTCAGCACCAAGAAATTATGTGTTTTACTCAGGTGTTAAAAAATCAAAATTTTTACAAACAATTAGAAAAGAAAAAAACTTACCTGCGTACTAGCCTTTTCAACGCGAATAGAATTCAACAAGGTGCAAAATTTCAGCTTTTTACAACGCTTTTATCAACTTGCAATGTTGTGGCTCCAGAAACTTTCAATGTTGTGGATCCAGAAACTTTCAATTGTTGTGTGTCCGACACCATAAAACCTTTGCTTTGCAAAGTTCCTATAAAAAAGTCTAGTGCATAGGGCGACATCTGTAGTGAATAGGGCGAGGTAGATGACATCTAGATGTCGCCCTTGTAATACGTTTGCTACACCGGAAATAGACGAGACGCCATTCTTTAAATAAAATTAATTGGTGCTCGTTTGTATGTACATACATATGTAAATGCATGTGTGTGCACCTTTCTATTAATATCGTTGAATTATTTTAATATCTATTGCAAAATTTT